TTAAATGCTTCCTTCCCCCCACTACCATGATCCCAATCCTACCTTACATATCCGGCTGGACCAGAGGATGTACACTGGCACAGATAGGAAGTGGAAATACAGTGAACCCAGGACAGATGAACCCCCCAGGACCAGTGGAGAGAGTGGCGATAGTGGGAGGGTGGAGGGAAGGTGAGGGAGAAAGGGGGAACAGATGACAAGGTCTACATATGGCCTCTTCCCTGGGGGATGGACAGTGGAGAAGTGGTTGAGGGAGACGTTGGAAAGTGTAAGATATGATAAAATAATAATAATTTATAAATTATCAAGGGTTCAGGGGGAGGGGGGAGCAGCCAGGGAGGGGGAAAAAGGAGGAGCTGACATCAAGGGCTCAAGTGGAAAGCAGATGTTGTGAGAATGATGAAGTCAACATATGTACTAATGTGCTGGACACAAATGATGTATGTACAGATTGTGATGAGTTGTATGAGCCCCTAATAAAATGATTATTAGAAAAAAAAAGAAAATAGGATCGTCAAAACATTTCCTGCTCCTGTAGTACCCTTTTAAATCTAAGAAATCTAGCTTGTTTCCCCAAATTATTTTCCTTCCAGATACTATTAGATCCTAAAAAAATAATAAATAAAAAGTCTGTTTTTTTTTAAAGCAGTTGAAAAAGATGAGTTAGACTTGAGAAAGTTCATTATTTCTACATAATGGTTTAGGTAGAATATTTGAATTTGAATAAAATGTAAACAAAAAAAATAAACCAGATTCTCTGATGATTTGCTCAGCTTGCAGTTTGAACAACTAGGTGAAAGGCTATAACCTAGACGCATACCTTTCCTGATCTTACACCATGCAATATTCCCTTGTTCTGTTCACACAACTGCCTCTTGATACAGGTACAATTTCCTCATGAGCACAATGAAGTGTTCTAGAATTCTCATTCTTCTCTATGGTTATCCATAGTTTATCATGGTTCACACAGTTGAATGCCTTAGTATTGTCAATAAAACACAAATAAACACCTTTCTGATAATCTCTGTTTTGAGCCAAGATCCATCTGACATCAGCAATGATGTCCCTTATTCCATGAACTCTTCTGAATCCAGCCTGAACTGGAAGTTCCCTGTCCACCATTATTGGATGATCTTCAACAAATGTTACTTGTGTGCAAAATTTATCAGTGATATTGTTCTATAGCTTGAGCAATCTGTTGGGTCACCTTTGTTTGGAATGAACACAAATATGTATCTCTTCCAGGCAGTCTGTCAAATGGCTGTCTTCCAAATTTCCTGACATAGCTGAATGAGTGCTTCCGGTGCTTCATCAGTTTGTTAAAACATTTCAATTTGCATTCCATCGATTCCTGGAGCCTTGTTTTCAACTAATGCATTCAGTGCCACTTGAACTATTTCCTTCAGCATCATTGATTTTTGCTCATATGCTACCTCCTGAAACAGTCAGTGTTGACTTGTTCCTTTTGGCCTTGGAAAAGGCCTTGGAAAAGCTCAATATCACCAGCTAAAAGCAGATCAGTGACTGACTGAGTGATTATCCATCACTCATATGCAAATTTAGAATAAAGCTGAAGAAAATGAATACAAGTCCACAAGAGCCAAAATACACCTGAGTTTTCAGAACACAAGAACAGACTTGACACATTGAACACTGATGACAGAGGATAGAATGAGCTGTGGGAGGACATCAAGAAAACCATTCATGAAGAAAGTAAAAGGGCATTAAAAAGAAAGGATCAAATGGATGTCCAAAAGGACTCTGAAACTTGCTCTTAATTGTAGAGTAAAGCAAGTGGAAAAAATGATGAAGTCAAAATTCTCAATAGAAAATGTCAAAGGGCAGCTCAAGAAGACAAAACCAAATAATATAATGAAATGTGAAAAGACCTAGATTTAGAAAAACAAAAGGGAAGGGTACATTCAGCATATCTGAAATAGAAATAACTCAAGAAAAACTCATGTCTCGAGTTGCAATTCTGAAAGATTCTATGGGCAAAGTAGTTAATGGTGCAGGAAGCATCAAGAGAAGATGGCTACCAGGATGGAGACTCAGAAATGTAGGTTTGAGACAAGACATGGGGCGCGCATGCCAATCAGTCAGGATAGGCTAGATTGTGATAGGACAACAAACAACTCCTAGGCTTCATTGGCTTAAAAGCATAAAAGGCTTTGTCTGTTTGTTTGTTTGTTTATAACTTATGGAGATTTTGTGCAGTTCAGGATGACTGTCTAGAACAGGTATCCTTGTCAGAAACTGACAAACTCTGACTCACGGCGTGTTTAGCAGCGGTTTACTGGGACAGAAATGCACATTTATTTCAGCATTGTCTATGCTTGTATTCAAGGAGCCCTTATAGTGGGCTCTGTGTTGGTCTACACACTGCAAGGTCAGCAGTTTAAAACTGCCAGCTGTTCTGCAGCAGAAAGATGAGCCTTTCCACTCCGTTCTACTCCGATAGAGATTTGCAGTCTCAGAAACCCACAGGGGTAGTTCTACTCCATCCCGCAGGGTTGCCTGAGTCAGAATTGATGTGATAGCAAAGAGTCTGAGGTTTGTTTGCTCTCATGGCAGAGCTGATTGGTTGCAAGTGAGCCCCTACTCTAAAGCTAATCAATGTGCTTCTTGGCTATATATAAAAATAATTTGCTGATCCCTGGCTCTATGGAATGGCTGAGCACTGCATCTTCGTATCAATACTGCTTCCCTGTGACACTGGGCGATGGCAGGGGGCCATTCTCTCCTAGTGATAGCATGTCTCCACCCAGAAGGGACTCACATCTGGCAAAGCAAGACCAAGATAGACTTGAATTGTGTGAAGTAGAAGTTCCCCATGGCTGGATGGGGAGGGCACTTGGTGACAAAAGAAATGGCTGCCACAAGCTAGAAGTGGAGGGACAACTTGAGAAATTATGATAAAGTATCAGGCAGTGAGGATATCCATTCAGGATTAAGGTCAAGATTTATGGGTATGAGAACTGGAATCTTTGAGAGGGCTGAACAGACTGTCATGCGCTTTCCCTACCCAACTTCTGCTTTGATTGAAAATGAGGTGTAGGATCTACATCTGAGAATGGAGAACTCAAAGCTCACCTGTTTTTCCCCTGACAAACGTGGCTCTGAAAAAAGGTCTTAGGCTGTCTTCGCACTGAGGCCATCCTAACTCAGGGAACATCCCAAGGAGAAGTAAATAGAGCTGGCTGAGAGAGTGGTAGAGGCAGAGAGAGAGACACACACAGAAAGAAATCTGGGTTCCTGGAGAAACTGAGGATAAAAATAGAGGGGTTAGGAGGTGTTGGAGGGGCTGTAGAAAGTTAGGGACACTTATACTTTGCCTGCACTTCCACTTGTCTTCCCAGACCCGCTTCTGTGAAGCCCTTACCAAGGCCTCGCTGCGATGTCCTGGGTGGTTCATCCTAAGGAGATAATGAATGACCATCTTTAAGCCTTTAGATGGGGAGCCAGCCCTTCTGTGTTTATAGGAGCCTCTGTTTGGAGAGCAGGACCCATGATGAGAGCAATGAGCCTCCTTCTGGGATCACTGTCCCTTCCTTACTCGGTGCCACCTGGTTGTGAGGGGCCCCTATGTGAGAACTCCTTTCATCCACTTTGACAACAATCTTTAGAAAGATTGTGAAAAATTGGATTGGTTAAAGCAGAATCTATTTATAGTTACGTGTTTTTAAGGTTTGTTGTTGTTTTTTAAACAAAAACAAAAAAACTAGTGACAAATAGAGCAGCCCTTTGCATGAATTCTCCAATTGGATAGTTTTCATTCAGAATGTTTATTTATTTACTTTTTGAATGAAGGTGGTGGGGATGACTTTAAGAAGACATTGAGATAAATCCTTTTTCCCTGTTTGATGACAGACTGCACGATGGTGTTGTCTGAGTACAATCCTTTGAGCACTTCTGCGTCAGGCTCTGGAGGGTATGGATGGACATACTGGGGCGAAGCTCCCAGTTAGGGGCTTACATACATGATCAAGCAACCCTGCATCCAGTGCTTCACATCGAGCTCACATTTGGCTTCTAGCGAGTGTCTGAAATAGTTATATCCTTTGTGACCTTGACAAAATCCATAATGTAGTTTCCCAAGCACTCTGCCCCTCCATTTTTAAAGTGATGCATTTTTTCCCCCCTCGGGGAAATTCAATCCGTATGTTTCTGACTCATTTACACTTAACTCATCAGACTGCCATTTCGTGAAAGCCGTTTGGTGTTCAAGGAGCTGAGGAACTGTCACAAAGATTTCCAGGCTGTGAGAGACACAGTGGCTGATCTCATCCAGAAGCAAACAAAGACCCTCCTTCTCAGTATTTACACTCAGAATCTAATCATCTCGGACCAAACAAAATGTCTCTCCCCTTTCCTAAAATTTGTGACTGATTCCCACTAAACCCTCCTAAGGAGTTAATAAGAACAAGATGGGCTGGCTTCCCATCTCCTCCCTCTCCATTTCCCTTTCCTTTGGAATAATTCAAGTGCTTCATGTTACAAATAAATGTGGGGGGCAGATGACTGAGAATTTCTGATGGCATTCTTAGGAAGGTTCAGTCTCTCTCTCACACACACACACACACACACACACACACACACACACACACACACACCAGCAGGAAAGGTTCACTGTACAATGATTGCCCAGGGCACAACAGGATCCTTAATGATCACAGACACATTCTATTCCACTCAGTTCTAAAGTGGGAAAATAAATGAATGCATTCATTTTTGAAACTTTTCTATGTGGAATATGAAAACACCTCGAGTGTTCTAATCTAAATTAACCCTCCAAATTCAAATGACCACAGGCATCCGTAAGACTGTAATATTAATAGATTAATGAGAAATATAAATTTATTGAGTGAACTAGAAACTAACATACTTTATCTTTAAGTATCACGAGCAGTTTCAGGAGTCAGCGTTCTCTCTACTGTATAAATAAAGGAATTAAAACCCATGTTGGCTGCACGGAGACAGTCCTCACTCGGCCAGCGAACATGGCGCTGCAAGCTGCGCGGAGTGCGCGGGCTGCGGCCTGCATCTTGCGTGCGCTGTCGGCGGCCCGCACGCCCTGCCTGGCGCGATGTTGGGGTCCCGGGTCGGCCGCCGTGCAGACGCTGCGCTCAGGCCGGGCTCTGCTCTTGGTGCGCAAGTTCACAGACAAACACGAATGGGTAACGACAGAAAATGGTGTTGAAACAGTGGGGATCAGCAATTTTGCACAGGAAGCTTTGGGAGATGTTGTTTACTGTAGTCTTCCTGAAGTTGGGACAAAGCTGAACAAACAGGATGAGTTTGGTGCTTTGGAAAGTGTGAAAGCTGCTAGTGAACTCTACTCTCCTTTATCAGGAGAAGTCACAGAAATTAATGACGCGCTTACAGAGAATCCCAGGCTTGTGAACAAATCCTGTTATGAAGATGGTTGGCTGATCAAGATGACAGTGACTAATCCTTCAGAACTTGATGAACTAATGAGTGAGGAGGCCTATGAGAAATACATAAAATCCATCGAGGAGTGAAAATGCGACCCTTGAATAAACTACAATGAAACAAACAAACAAACAAAAACCCATGTTGGTTCATTTAAAAAGTGTTACGCAAAGTTCAATGCCAAGACTGTCCAGAATTCAAGCCTGTGCTATTTCCTCTGTATTACACTGTTTCTCTTAAGTTGTTCACTTTATTTATTTAAGATTTATTTTAAATGTTTCCATTGGAAAAGGGATGCCAAGTGCTCTTCCATAGTTCAACCGCCCCCCCCAAGTTAGCGCAGGATCAAATTTAGTGTCATCCTAGGAATCCAGTACAAATTCTTTCTGTGATGAATACACTGAAAATTCATGGAAAAATGTTCTGCACATTTGGAAAAGTTTGGAATTTCTCTTCTACTTTCCTGAAAAATTAATTTGGATAAACAAGAGCTGGAAGAAGCAAGACAAGTGAAAGCAGGCTCACGGTCCTGGGAGCGGACTGATAGGGAAAGCACAGACTAAATGAAGCCGTTGGGTTTTGTGGAGCCTTGGTCGCTGACTTCCTTGCATTGCTCGATGGATGGAAAGAACCATACCTGCTATCCAGGGCTGTCCACAGGCGACCTGTCCTATCAGAGTCTGTACACAGTTGCTGCTCCTGGGTCTGTGAACACTTTACAGTTCACCATGGAAATCTCTTTATCATCACGGGATGGCCATGCTGGATTCTCAATATAGCATCACATGCTGCTGGGTGAACAGGCTTCTGGTCAAGATCAGTTAAAAAGTTTATTTTTTATTATTCTGATTGACATTTAAAAAACCCGAAACCAAACTTATTCCTGAGTTGATGCTGACTCGTTGGGAACCTACAGGATAAGGTAGAACATCCCTGTGAATTTCCAACATGTAGCTTTTTAAGACAGTAGGAAGTCCTTTCTCCTTTGGGGTGGCTGGTTGTTTTGAACTGCTGATGTTGTGGATCTCAACTTGTAATCATTGCCCTGCTAGAGCTCCGATACCTGATTTCTGCCCCTATTTTTTCCATTCACAATCACATACTTAGGTACCTTTTGACCCCATGGGAAAAAACAAAAACGAAAAACCTAACGTTCAGAACTACCAGTAACATGAAGAGAATCTTTTTCTTTTTTTCTTTTAAAGAATGAAATGTCTCCCATCACAGTGGATTCTTAAGCACGCTCTCCACGTAGGCGACGTGCTGGCTGGACGTCTTTTGGCGTAATTGTTACACATTTGGCATGGATAGCACACAGGTTGGTGTCTTCAAAAAGGCCAACCAGATAGGCCTCACTCCCTCCTGCAAAGCACCAATAGCTGCGCTCTGGAAGCGCAGATCGGTTTTGAAGTCCTGAGCAATTTCTCTCACCAGACGCTGGAAAAGAGGTTTGCGAATGAGGGATAGTTCTCATTGTTCCTGCTGGGGGTCAGTCCAGAAACTTCAAGAGAGGCCCTTTTCGTCCTGCATCTAAGCTTGCTAGAAAAATAAGTGTCCAGATACATACACTTCAAGAAATTCTTCCTGAACATTTTCAGATGGACCCAAATGAAAGAAGCAAGCCTGGTTTGAATCCTCATGAAAGGTACTGAGACCGTTCTTCTATAAATCAGAATGAAAATTCCCAGAATGTATGCCGCCCCCACTTCTAAAACAAAACTCCAAACTCACTGTTACAGAGTTGATTCCAACTCTATTGAACAAAATAGCCCTGACCCTCTGGGTTTCCTACTGTAATTCTTGATAGGAGTAGAAAGGCGCATCTTTTTCCCACACAAATGCCGATGGCTTTGAACTGTAGCTCAACATGCAATCCACTGCACTATCAAGGCTCCTAGGACCCTGCTAGGTCAGTGAGAAAAGCCCCCGGTTAGCCCTTGACTTAAAAATATAAATTTGTTGGTGCTTATTTATCTTTCTTCTTGTGTCATACTCTGATCTTCTTAGGAGGACTTTATCTTAAGAAAGATGGCTTTGGATGACAGGAATCCAACTATTCCCTTCCACTTTGGCAGATCCACCATGTGTACCCACTCCTCTCCTCAAGTTCCTGAGTCTTGGAGAGCAGAAAACGTGGCGGAGACGCCCATGTGGAAAACAAGGAGGCAGACAGCAAAGCCTAAGAATTATTTAAATTTTTTAGTGAGCATAAGGGAGATACATGGGCTTGTTCTTTTCAGCTATCTGTATTAATGTATACCACGTAATAAAGTTTTCTTATGTGTTTGGATGAGAGGGTTTGCTCCAGAGATCAAAAGCAAGAAGGGGAAGTGAGGAGGGGGGAGAGGAGATGAAAACAGAACTTCTGAGGCCCCTTTAAATCGTACCATCTTGAGCAAAGAAAAGCTTGAATTATGCAAAAGCTGGCCAGAAGCCCACATCTGGCAATGGTCAGATTGCTTTGTGAGCAGGCAGTTTGCACGCAGCATGGAGGGAGGCATGATGACCCTGTGAAGAAGTACACGGGGCTGGTCACCAGACAGACACTGCGCGCTGGGGCTCCGGTCCTGTCATTTGATCTGCACGCAGTCAGGTGAGAGGAGTGATGTCTTCCCAGCCTAGCACTGCCTTAGATTTGGTTCCAGATTTGAATTAAAAACCTGCCTCTTCTTTGGGGGACGAAATTGGCAAGTACAGTGCTCATAGACTTCCACAGTTTCCCCGAGAGACCCATTTCTTCCGAGTGATTCTGTCCCCCATTCTCTTGCTTTTCCTACCCTGCGGTGCCATCCTGGGCATGTCCCTGTGTTAACTCTCTTCTCTCTGTGGCAATTAGATTCCGACGCTGTTGGGCCTCACCATGGAGGCCCCAAGCTGAGCCAGAGTGGCCCCCAGTGGACCCCAAGTCAGTTCTAAATATTGGAAGGTGTACCTTACAACAAGACCAGACTAGATTTTCTCCTGTTGTCTTTCCTCAAAAGCATCAAATCTGCGAAGACAAATGTGTAAACGAAGATGTATATTCTCTTCCAGAAAGAAAATAAGGAAGAAACTGTGTCAAGTGGGCACTTTGGGAGCCATTGAAGTGAAGCCCTTAGCATTTCATCCTGAGAAAGACCAGCCACAAGTCTAAACACCAATGCCTCCAACTGAGCCTGCTTTGATGCTCACAGCCCTGCAACAAGCACACAGCTACGTGAGAGAAAACAGTCTTGGCGCCACTCTTCAAAACCAGCCTCGCAGGATTTGGTATGATTTAGATCTGTTCCTAAAACAAAACAACAACAAAAACCAGTTGGTTCCTGTTAAGTCAATAGCACTTGAATGGCTCCTCAGACTTTCAGCTCCAGCAGGACGCAAAGGCATCTCCTCCAGCTGCCTTTCATGAGGTCTCTTTTATTTCTACAGCATGAGAAACGAGGCAGGATGGGTAGAGAGAAGAGATCTGGGGGCGTGTATATTTAAATCCAGTTTTCACTGCTAAGCTGTACTCACATGCTGAAGGACTTAGAGACTGCTTGAAAAAACATCCTGTATATTTTCTGTATCCTATAGTTTCTACTTCTCGTAAAAGCCATTTGGAAGTTACACTGAAACTTTAACTCAGTAGGCTTAACCTGACAGGGGTGATTGTAACATCCCAGCCAGAGCGCTCCACCCCAGCCTCAGTGCTCTACGAGCACATGAGTTGCTCAGCTCTCTTGGTCTCCTCCTGGACGTTCCCTGGGCAGGAGCAACATGTAGGAACACAAGACCTTTCATCCACATCTGCTCATTTCTCCATTCTCCTGGAATTCTTGGTTAGTAAAACTGTATGGAAAACCCTTAAATTAACACTGGACTAAGGAATCTTCAGACTGTGGCTAAAGAAGAGCTATGAAAGGCAGCTCACAAAGCTCCATGATGGACACAGCTGGTTACGTGTTTGCGCTTTAGGATCTTACTTTCAGCTGGAATTCCTTGAAACGGGAGGCAACGCTTGGTGTTTCTGTGAAGCAATCATATTTATGAAACAATAAAATATTTAAGTAGAGATGGTATACGAGGGGGTACCCCCCCCCCACAAAAACAACAACAGAAAAAAGCTCTGTTGAGCGAAGCTTTCATAGTATATATTTTTCCTGCTAGGTGAGCATAGAGCAACTCCTCTGAGTTAGTGCACTCAGTGGTGTCACCTGGGAAGCTTCTCTCTGGTCACGATGAATTTTTTCATGAAAGCAGTTTCTCTGGAACCTCATTTCTGTGATGGCAGATTTAAGAGAACAGAGTGCAGCTGTGAAGTTTTGTTTCCTGCTCAGGAAAACTGTCGAAGAAACTGTTGTGATGCTGAACACAGCCTACAAGGACAGCGCTATGGGAAAAACTCACCTCATTCTCATTTCAAAAGAGGTGAAATGTCAGTAATGATAAACCTCGTTCTGGACATCCATCAACTTCCTGAATGGACGAAAATGTCGACAAAATTCATGTACTTGCGCCCGAAGACCGATGACGGACCATTGAAGAGTAGGAGAAGTTATCTGGACTCTTGGAGCTCAGTTCAGTGAATTTTAATGGAAGATTTGGGAATGAGAAGGGTCGCTGTGAAATTTGTGCCTCAGGTTCTGACTGACCAGGAAAAAGAACGTCCGTCCAGTGGAAACATGCTGTGCTTTGAAGGAACAGCTGGGAAGCAACCCAAACATTTTCCCAAGGTCATTCCTGGTGATGAGACATGGTGTTATTCTTATGACCCCGAAAGCAAATATCAATCAAGCCAGTGGAAGATGCCATCATCACCTTGCCCCTCCCCCCACCAATGCTCTTCAAGTGAAATCAAAGATCAAGACAATCTTGTTTGATTTTTTGATGGGGGGAGGTGGGGCAGTGCATTTGGAGTTTGTTCCACCAGGTCAGACTGTTAACCAAACTTTCAATTTAGAGGTTCTGAAAACATTGTGCAATAGAGCGTGACAAAAAAGGCCTGATTTGTGGCAGACAGGGAACTGGTTTTGCCACCACGACACTGCACCTGCTCACACAGCCATCTCAGTGCATCAGTTTCTGGCAAAAACCAGCATGCCTCTCTTGCCCCATGCACCTTACTCACCTGACCTCCCTCCGTGTGACTTCTTTTTG